AAACTGATTCACAGCACTCGCAGGAAAGACTCACAGTCGAGTGCGACGGGACGGCGTGCATGTGAACGTGTCTAAAGCAAAATGTCTGATGCTTTATCATTCTCCTGCTAGTCGTTCTCTTCGCATAAACTGAAATGCAGGAGACGCAGTGGATAAGATGGAGAAGTTCAAGCACCTCTGGGTCGTGTTTACTGGTGATGGAAAATTTTGAGGGGAAAATCATCCTTCGAATTTGGATAGCCATTGGAGTTCTGGGTGAACCTGGCCTGAGCCGTTGTGGCTAATGCAGAGATGAATCTTAACTAGAGTCTCGGTATTCTGATCGATCTTCATCCCCATTCTTACCATTCCGTAAGGTCATAAGTCGTGAATCAGGCTTGGAAACTTTGAGCCCGGGTGCATGCTGCTTAGATTGGCTTTCTGGGATGAGTCGCTGGCCTTAAGCTTCTCGACATGGTCCGGAATACAGGAATCAGCCAGTACATTCGTGTACCGCCGCTGCTTCTTTAGATTAACAAGCTACATCTGCGATTGTTTGAGCATCCAGAAAGGAAAGGGAAGTACCCTACTTCTTGCACAGCTGACCGACGAAGGCCCAGGGGACGGCCAAGGTTAAGCTCGTGAAAATACAGAAAAGGAGTCGCTTTAAATTCCGGTTGTCTTCTGACAAAGCGCAGACTCTGGTACAGAATCAGGACGGTTGGAAGTACTCTCTGGCCATGTGCCTCCGCGATCCGAAAGGACAGTCAGTCATGGAAGATGAAGAAGAAGATAATGAGACCTTCGTCTTTGCCACGGTCAGTTGTGTTTTAGTGAATTTGATGGCAGTGCTAAATAGTAAAGGCAAAATCACATCTCCCTGGTGATCTCTACAATTAATATGAAAAGATTTAGATAGATCTCCTTCAACTATAAGAGCAGACATGATTCCTCTTTTAAAATAGAAACAATGTGCTCAGATATCCTGTAGCATTTCATGATTTCTCACATTGTCTCAAGAAGGCAGTTTGAATCGTTGGCATTACTCAGTGATTCTAGACAGAGTGAATGCTTCGCCGGGCTGCAGCATCCAGTCCGGAAGCCTTCTTGATTTGAGCGAAGTCTCCGGTAACTACCTACCACAGCCTTTGCAGCGTTTTCGAGAAGAAGATTTTCCCGATATTTGACGATAGTGTTACAGTATGAGCCGCTTTAAAAATGCAATCGGAAGTTTCAGTCAATTTAAAGTCTGGAATTGAGCATTAGTCATCAATCCGATCCCTTTGAAAATATCAAAGTCGTCATGACGAACGTTTCTTAAGCAAAATGCTTGAAATTCGGTATTTGTACTGCAAAGCGAAAACTAGTTGAACGTAAAGAAGTCGCAGAGCTCAGCGGTTTAGGCGAACGTAAAAACTGTCTGAAATTGCGTTGAACAACTCTAAAGTTTCCAGTTTCCAATCGTCGTATTTCACAACCCTTTGCAGTTATGTATAAATGATGCGATGTTAACATTCATGAAATTCATAAGTTGTTCGCATGCCTGAGAATATCTGGCAGTGGAAGGGTCATTCGCAATTTAACTTTGATAGCATTAATGCATATTTTCGAAAATAAAGTTTGTAATTTTCTGGATAGATTTGGCGCAGAATTTAAAATCTACTACATATGGGATTTGTTGTGTTTAGAACAGCACGTTATCTCAATTTTTTACGTAATTGATGCCAGATTCAGTAAGATTATTGGTACTGTTAAACTAGATATGATTTGCGATCGCTTGCACATGGTATAAAAGGATCAGTTCGCTTTGTACAAGAAGGCAAAGATTAAGGATTATTATGGGATTATTACTGCAGTTACCAACCTTATTTTCAGTTTTAATCATTGTGAATTCACTTGCTCAGCTTAAAATTTGTCAATTTTTTTCGTTGATTTTGATCGAAGGGATATCATCGCTAAATATCAATTAGATAATGTAGATGATCGCTGCAGTAGATCAAACTCGCAATTTTAAGCTTGAAGAAGGTCCTTGAGATGTAAATCGAAACGTCCGTATCGGTTCATCAGCTCATAAACAATTGCTGATGCGCCATAACTTAAAAACTGTCGTATTTGAAATTTCAATATGGTTTTAATACACGTGCAAAATACCGAATTTTCCCATCGATAACGCGCGTCTTTTGTATATCGCGTACCTTGTACTTCTTTATGCTTTTTAAAATGTATAGATAGCGCACACCTTGTAATACTTAATCCTCATGAAAATGCAAGGATAACGTGCAGTCTATTTATTGACTGAAAATAGGCAGTTTTCAAACAAATAAATAATGGAAACATATGATTGGTTGTGGCTGTATCTAAAACAGACGAATAGAAGAGTTAGCAAGAGTAGCCATATTGCTTCTGGTCACTGAACACGTGTATTCCGCAAATGTTTAGTTTTTAACATTGAAAGTTGCTCCTGAGAAAACTACCCATGGAGAGAAAAATACGGTTCGGAGGAAATTTTATACAGCAGTGTTAAAAATGGAAGCCATTAATTTCGTGGAATAAAAAGGTTGAGGCAGCCAGAAAAATTAACATTGGAAAGTCCAGATTGAGAAGTCACAGCTGCGATGGTTTGGGCATATGTTGTGAATGCCTCCAGAAAGGAAGGCTAAGATTCAGCAACTGTTCCTTGCAAATCCGACCGGCAAAAGGTCCAGGGGATGGC